TCCCGGCCAGAGGACAGAGGAGCTACTGTCAGCCCCGACCCCATTCATTCGAGGGGGCGCTCTGGTCCCAGCCAGACTACATATCCCAGGATGCCGCGCGCCCTTTACGCCGTGCTGGGACGTGTCCCGCCTCTGCAGGGACCCTCCACTCGAGAAGAGAGAGCAGCGAGGTTCTCGTCATGCCTCTCGCGATAGGAAGCCGCAGGGTTTGTTGGGAAGTGAAGTTCAACCCTGCCGAGTTGGTAGTTGGCACTGTCAGCCCCGACCCCATTCATTCGAGGGGGCGCTCTGGTCCCAGCCAGACTACATATCCCAGGATGCCGCGCGCCCTTTACGCCGTGCTGGGACGTGTCCCGCCTCTGCAGGGACCCTCCACTCGAGAAGAGAGAGCAGCGAGGTTCTCGTCATGCCTCTCGCGATAGGAAGCCGCAGGGTTTGTTGGGAAGTGAAGTTCAACCCTGCCGAGTTGGTATCTGGCGAGTAAGTCAAGGGCTCAAAGCGGGATGCGAGAGTCCCTGTCGCAACAAACACAGCGGCGGCACTAGAGCTGCAGACCTGTGATTGATCGCTGGCGGCGTTCTAGCATCTGAAACAATTCTGAATGGAGTGAAAGAAAAAACTCCTCTGAACTTACTTTTCTACCTTTTGAAAGGAGCATTTGGAGTCAGAAAGTGCTGGGATTGAATGTTGGCTCAGCTGCTAGTCAGCTCTGCTATCTCAGGCAACTTCTTGGAGCCTTAGTCTCATTATCGGTAAAAACGGGAGCTGTAATGACCATCTCACCGCTTGTTTTGAGGGTTACAAGTTATGATCACCTGGGGATCTTGTTAAAATGTAGGTTCTGCTTCATTACACCTGCAATTTGCCCTGAGATTCTGCAGCTCTAGCAAGTTCCCAGGTGCTGCTGATGCTACCCGTCTGTGGACCTCGCTTAGCAGAGCAGACACCTTTAAAACAATCGTCTCTGGAGACTTCTCTCCCCCACCCCGTTGACTTTGGGACCTCCAGCCACTCAACAGTTGCTTAGTTTTCTCCTTCCCCTTAGCCTACAATCATGCTCAAAGTAATTTACCTTTCTCCTTCACTTTACCACCAAATATCTCTAAAGACTAATCTATAGTCATAGCCTTTTTTATTCTGAACAAAGCCAGATTTTTAAAAAGTTTCATTTTGACTTCTACTGACCTCTTAATTGTCAAAACCATATACAGCAGGTCTCTAGTACCGTTTAATTTAATGTTGTTTAATTATAACGTTCATAAGATGCCATTACAACTTAATTCTTGCGTGTATCAGTTAGCCTATGGCAGCGATTTTCAGCCCATGTGCGGCCAAAAGCACGCTGGTGTGCTGCAAGAATTTTGAACATGTTAAGCACCTGACTATTTAATCGGGCCACTAACCTCTTTTCCCTTAGATTATCAATTTTTTTAAAATGACAACAGCCAACACAATAGCTGTCTGGTGTGAATGAGCCAAAATTATACCTAATTTTACTAATTAGCTTGTGTGTGCCATTACATACATTGTTTCACTTGAAGTCACAGTTTCCAAGAACCTATCAATGATGTTAAGTGAGAACTTACTGTACCAGTCTTACTTGATCTTGCAAATGGATTTTGACAATGAAACTCAATGCTCTGACATTCTCTTGTCCCTCTGCTCATAAGACACGAGTCCCATCTTTCTTTCTACTTCTCTAACTTACCTTTTTTTTTTTTCTTTCTTTGCAGGCTTTTCCTTCTCCATCCACTCAAATTCTCCTTTCAGAGTTCCATCATCTGTCCCTTCCTTTTTTGTCCAAACACATTCTATTGGTGATATCTCTGCAACTTCAACCATTATCATATGGAACAGTGAACCTACACATACATATATGTA